CTACAAGCAGTAAGAGAAAAGAAACAAATCACATGCAAAGGAAAGCCCATCAGAATCATAGCAGACTTTTCAACACAAACCCTTAGGGCAAGGAGAGCCTGGAGTGAGGCATTTCAAGAACTAAAAGAAAACAACCTCAAACCTAGACTGATGTATCCTGCAAAACTCTCTTTCCAAATGGATGGGGAAATAAGCCGCTTCCATGACAAAGAACACCTGAGAAACTACATGAATACCAAACCAGCACTACAAGCAATTCTAAACAAAATCCTAGAAAAAGACAATGAAGGCAACACCACCATGAGGCCCAACAGAGCAAATCAAATAGGTAAGGCAAGAAACTAAAAGAAGAAGGTGAAAAAGTAAAAAGAGTCACCAAAAGGCCAATAACATGTCAATAATAAGTCAGTACATATCAGTTATAACCATCAATGTCAATGGCCTCAACTCTCCAATAGAGAAAAACAGACTGGCAAAATGGAATAAGAAGCAAAATCCAACAATATGTTGTATACAAGAAACATACCTAGTGCAAAAAGAAGCCCATAGACTGAAAGTGAAAGGATGGAAAATAATTCTCCACGTGACAGGAGCCCAGAAAAAAACAGGGGTAGCAATCTTATTTGCAGGCAAAGAAAATTTCAAACCAAAACTGAATCTAGTATTATTGATTTAGGACAGTACTGTATCATACCTCAACGAATGTAAAATATCTAGTTCCTGCTTTATGATACATAGTAGGGACTGTGCTTTATCAGAGCTACATTTAATGATATTACTCTAGAATGTTCTCTTTCCAGATGATGATTAAGAGGCTAATAGAAAAAATGGTGCCAGGTACCACAACAGCAACAGAACTTTGCTGTTGTCTGGATTATTATTCTTTTCTTTGTTTTTTTTTTTTAATGGAATGTGCTGAATGTCTATAATATTGTTCAGATGACTGTAGAACCTGGAAAAGCTGTTGCTGCTATCGATGCATAATATACTATTATTAGTCTATA